CATTAAATTTTTATTACGAGCAAAGGACAAAAGACTTATTTTGTTCCAGATAACTTTTTCAGACACAATCTCTAGTCAATGATATATTTATGTGAAGCAATTTACATTTCTATATGTTCACTTCGACGAATACACGGGTTGAACTATTGACTGTGCGAATATCCTGATCGTTTTTCAAAAATTTGCCTATAGATGTTTAAACTAAAAAAAAAACAGGGTTGGGCTCAACTTCGTGTGTTAACAAAGTTTTAAGTACCACAGAAAAGTAATTAAAATCTCAAGGCTTCCATTCGTGGCTGAAAGTTACTGGCCTGCTTCTCTCAGTAATTCTATCAAATTTATATGCTTTATCGTTGTAGAAAACCTTGATTTTACCGCTGAGATGTTTCAGATAGACCCGAAAGGTGAAGTCTTGGCTGTGCCACACGATATAGATCTCAGAGACACTGATTCAGAAGCAAATTGGAAAGGTAAAAAACCGAGCTCAGCTAGCTGGAAGAAGAGGGAAATGAAAAAGATGAGAAAAGAAAAAAAGGAAAGGAAGAAAGAAAGGTACGGAAAAAAGCTATGGCTGTGATGTGTTTTTACGATTGGTTAAAACTATCAAGTCCGATGGTAAAAAATGTTATTCACGTTAAAAGTATTAACTCTAACTTTGAGAGAGAGGCTTTTTCCGAATATCAGTGACCAAAGTCATGCGGTTAACTATATCTACACACACTAATTTTATTTTTTATTTTATTATTTTGCCACACATAATGAATTACAACCGGAATAAAAATGATAATAAATAGGTTAATTAACATTAAATTTAAAATTTGTACATTACTTGGGAGGAGTGACTGTGGTGAGGAAATCTCCGAGAAGCCGAGCTTATGAGGAGTAGAGATTTCCCCCCACGGGAAATTTAAATACTAGGCGGTATTTTAAGAAATAAAGAAAAAAGTCGTTTATTTAAGTATATAAGTGTGTTTAGAGGAAAATATAGGTGTTAAGGTATTTAGGTTGCATTCTGTCTGACCCTTAAAGATGGTTTGATCACACGCTTGAATATACTAAAAGACGGGGCATTTTTGATGTCGTTCGGTAATGAATTCCATATTCTAGGACCTTGAAACAGGATCGAAAATTTTTTAATATTTGTTCTACAGGTATGAGGTNTAATTTTATTTTTTATTTTATTATTTTGCCACACATAATGAATTACAACCGGAATAAAAATGATAATAAATAGGTTAATTAACATTAAATTTAAAATTTGTACATTACTTGGGAGGAGTGACTGTGGTGAGGAAATCTCCGAGAAGCCGAGCTTATGAGGAGTAGAGATTTCCCCCCACGGGAAATTTAAATACTAGGCGGTATTTTAAGAAATAAAGAAAAAAGTCGTTTATTTAAGTATATAAGTGTGTTTAGAGGAAAATATAGGTGTTAAGGTATTTAGGTTGCATTCTGTCTGACCCTTAAAGATGGTTTGATCACACGCTTGAATATACTAAAAGACGGGGCATTTTTGATGTCGTTCGGTAATGAATTCCATATTCTAGGACCTTGAAACAGGATCGAAAATTTTTTAATATTTGTTCTACAGGTATGAGGTCGGTAAAAGTCAGAGTATCTTGTTGAATAATGAAACGATGTTAGTGACAAAATAGTATAGGGAGTAGTTTGTTTCTCTCATATATATATATATATATATATATATATATCCTTTACAATACCTATAGCAACATTGGGGATCATTAATATTCCTAAGATTGACCCGTATTTTTTGTGTAAAGTATTTTCACTTAGAACAAATATTCCACATGTTAATCCCGCTCAAAATATTCGAATATATAGTGCAAGCACACTTCACCTTTTTTAGTTTTAAAAATATTTTTGAGAAGTAAATTTATGAGAATGAATCTCTTGCTTTATATTTATAGGTCTAGCTGCATTGGACAGGTTAAACAAATATTCCAATGTTAAACCCGGTTTTCTTTCTGCCGGTAACTTATTCTCAATTAGATTACTTTTGCATTACTATGTTCGTTAAAAATGAAAAAAATCGAATCGTGAAAGCGCACTCTTTAATCTTAGATTTTTTCATGAAATTATCGTTCGGCATCAATATTGAATAAATGTTCATTTTATTTTGTTAAAGGTTGGGATATCCTGATCCAGATTAAAGGCCGGAATTGGTTGCTAATGCATGGAATACTGTGACTGCAACAAGGAGGAACCATTGGAGAGCATTAATTTATTGATTTATTTTTTCTCAAGGATATTTTAAAAAAAGTCAAAGGAAAGTAGAATATGAGTTGTCGTTCAGTTTCTAACATTGGTTATGTACATAAAAACTGACATAAAAAATAGACTGTATTCAAAGTCCATGTATATCCACAAGAGAGATTGCCTGCAAGTATGTGAAGCAGTTTTCATATCAAAAATACTATTCACAGTGCAGCCGATTCAATTATGTCTTCTTGTCATTCAATTACTCTATCTTATTAAGATTCAATTATGTCTTCCTACCATTCGATTTTGTCTGCTTGTTATTGCCCCCGCAGGGATTTTGCCCAGAGGCGAAATCCCGCGTAGGCACTCTAGTAACTCGCGCGTATATTAAGGACAGTACTTACAGTTCAAATATACAGTCAGTATACTAGAAAAAATCTCGATTTGCTCGAACTGGGGCCGCGAGGAATCGGTAGGTAATGATGACGTTTCTATTGTTTACGCCCGCAAGTACGAAATGGTTAGGATGACGTAAAGACAGAAAATCCCAAAGGGACCGCTCAGGTAGATTTTGTGACATTTATTGTGCAGTCATACTTCGATACTCTTTTGCGTTACGCAGTGACATTCTGCGGAGCAGTTGTTTTGAAAGTTATGGACCAAAAGACACTCGTTAAGCGCAGGGGAGGTTATAAGGTGCGTTTAACTGTGTATATATAAGTTTAAATCTTTGATTTATATTGGAAACCTTGCCAGACACTCTTTCTCTCTCTTTGACCGGAATAAGACTCAGCCCCAAACAAGCAAGACGAGTGAACAACGGCTAGCTTATCACTAGCAGATTGATGGACATTTACAGAAACTCGCCGACAATCAAATTCTGTGCTGACTTATTCCCTGCTCACAGGTGTTCTTCCGTTATAAAGTTTCAAATAAGACTAGAATGCGCTAGCGTGAATCGATCAAACGTCCTTTTAATTTCTAAGACTTACTTTCCGGCAAATAAAATGAACTGAATGTAAAAAGGGAAAGAGAAATAGCGAAAAATTCAACTTCTAATTAAATCTTTTCTTATGGTTTAGAATAAACTATTCTCGAAACTGAGAATGTTTTGATCAAAGCTGTGTAAATCGAGCTGAAACTGTGCATGGAACCTTGCGTTTCCTGTATTTATCTCACCTATTGTTTGGAATATGTGTGAAAATCTTCCTTATGAATCGGTATATTTCAAGGAGCTACACAACCAGCAAGAATACTATTGACCGACAATATACAGAACGGGGGCAGCTGTAGTGTCAACTATTACTAGTGACTAGCGCGTATATTAAGGAATGTACTTACAGTTTAAATATACAGTCAGTATGCCAGAAAAAATCTCGATTTGCTTGAACAGGGGCCGCGAGTAATCGGTAGGTAATATTGACGTTTCTATTGTTCGCGCCCGCAAGTACGAGATGGTTAGGATGACGTAAAGACAGAAAACCCGGAAGGGACCGCTTTGGTAGATTTTGTGACGTTTATTGTACAGTCTTACCGTTCGATACTCTTTTGCGTTACGTGTTATCAGTGACATTCTGTGGAGCGGTTGTTTTGAAAGTTATGGACCAAAAGACACTCGTTTAGCGCACATAAAGTTATAAGGTGCGTATAACTGTGTATATATAAACACTTGGAGAGTTCGCCAGACATGAGTTCACAAATCTTTGATTGGAAACCTTGCCAGACACTCTTTCTCTTGGCCTCCCACGCAGACGTTCTCAGTATAGGGGGTTCGTCCCGCGTTCCTGCCCCACGAATGTCTGCTGACTTGAGCGGAATAAAAATAGACTAATAACAGCAGACTTCCAGATCTAGGAAGTGCACTTTGGTAATTTCGCGCTTGACTTTATAGCTCAGTCCAGAAAGATCAGAAAGGTCACATGAAAGGTGAAGTCCCTTACAGTTTTAAAACAAACTACTCTGTTACGGTAACTCACAAGCGTTCGTACTAGTGGCCACCCTCAGAATCTCGCTGAATAAAATTACCTCGGAGGTTAAATTTGATGAACGGAAGTCGGCTTTACTACAAAACAATAACGTGTGAAAAAAAATTCTGCCTTTTGTTCAGTCTTACAAGGTAACCCCGCCGTTGCATCACCCAAAGAACTAAGAACGTCTGCGTGGGAGGCTATCTTTCTCTCTCTTTGACCGGAATAAGACTCAGCCCCAAACAAGCAAGACGAATGGATCAACGGCTAGCTTATCACTAGCAGAACGATGGACGATTATAGAAATTCGCCGATAATCAAATTCTGTGCTGACTTATTCCCTGCTCACAGATGTCCTTCCGCTAAAAAGTTTAAAATAAGACTAGAATGCGCGAGCGTGAATATGATCAAACGTCCTTAATTTTTAAGACTTACTTTCCGGCAAATAAAATGAACTGAATGTGAAAAGTGAAAGAGGAATAGCGAAAAATTCAACTTCCTATTAAATCTTTTCTTATGGTTCAGAATAAACTATTCTCGAAACTGAGAATGTTTTGATCAAAGCTGTGTAAATCGAACTGAAACTGTGCATGGAACCTTGCGTTTCTTGTTTTTATCTCACCTATCGTATGGAATATGTGTGAAAGTCTTCATTGTGAATCGGTATATTTCGAAGAGCTACACAACGACCGAGAATACTATTGACCGACAATATACAGAGCGGGGGCAGCTGAAGTGTCAACTATTACAAGTCATTTAATTATCACATTTTGTCATTAAAATTGGCCTGTTTGTTAACTGTTTGTCATTTATTCAATGGCCTGATTCACACAGGCAGATGAACGTGTAAGTCCAGGTTTCCTTTGGTTTAAAACTTTTTTGGGGCCCACTTGAGGAAGCACTTGGTCGAAATCGCTTGAAGGGTTGACGGGAACTAACTTTACCGGCAGATGCGCCCCGACTGTAAAACGGAAAAAGACGCGCCATTTCTCGTAATTCTCCCCTCAGGGGCACCCAACGAGAATATAGTTCAAAACCACTTAAACATAGCATTATTCAAAGTATTTTAGTATTTAAACGGTAGATATAGGCATATTTTTATCCCCTAAAAATGTTTCATCTGTTCGGATTTCCTAGCTAAAAGTCTAGTGATCCGAAAATTATGGGGATCAAAACTTACCTTTTCGAAAATTTCAGCCAGAAAAAAGGCTCCCGAAAATTCTAGGTGACCTTATTAGGGTAAAAATCCGTTAAAAATAGGCAATTATACCATTTTTAGATGTTCGAAAATCCTAGAAGAGGCAGGCAAGCTAGAAATTTTACAACAAATGTTTCGAAAATTCTAGATCTCAAATCGTCTTCCGAACAGATATTCTTCCGAAAATTCTCGTTGGGTGCCCCTGTCCCCTTTCACTGAGTGGCAGGAACTTGAACTGAACCTACAGATCGATGCGCTGGAAGCTGCTGCAGATGATCTGTCGACGTGCGTGGTGACGTCAGGATATCCACCGCTTCATTCAACAACGTTAATGCTCGTTGATAATTTTCTCCTTTTCCGTCGGAATCGCTCACACCTTGAATTTCCTTCGACGCCATTTTCAAACTTCATGCAAGAAAGGCGCAAAGAAGCCCGCGCGAAGACGTCAGTCAGTCATCAGCGGTGCATTTGAGGGCTCATGTACAAGCGGCCAATCGATATTGAATCGATATTGAATAATTGAATCGCAACAATGCAAGCCATAATTCAATGAAGTTCATAAAGTAAGAAATTACATGACAAACAGTTATAATCAGAAATGACTAAATGACCAGGGATAATTTAATAACAAAAAGTAGTAATTGAATGACAAGAAGACATAATTGAAAGACAAACGGACATAATTGAATGACAAGAAGACATAGTTGAATCTTGATGAGATATAATATTTAAATGACAAGAAGATATAATTGAAAGATAAACGGTCATAATTGAATGACAAGTTGTAATTGACATAATTGAATCTGTGAATAATATTTTTGATATGAAAACTGCTTCGTAGAAGCAAGCTCTCCGCCCCAAGAAGCAAGCTCTCCACCCCCCGTTTTCGCGTCTCCTCTCGCGTGCTTCTTGCACGTTATCTTTTTACGATATGGCCCCCAAATGGAGAGCTTGCTCACAGCGTACGAGAGAGAAGCTTCCTTGCAAACAAAACAAAGACATCCTACGACCCGAATGTTCAAAAAAACAAATGCGAAACCTCTATGTGCTTCGCCTGTGGTTCGGTGATAAGGCGATTTTGGGAAGTACTTAATGGTAAATATTCCCAAATTCTAGGGATTAATTGGCCCTATTACATAGCACTAACAAGAAGTAATTATTCCTCATGTTGGATGAGGAAGGACGTTAATTTTGACTAGTTTTTCTTGAGTCAGAGGCCTATGTCTCTTGTGGAGGACTTAACTATCGCTGGTTTGTAATTATATCTTGTTACACTTTTAACTTAGAAGCATTAGGACTGAGGTTTTAATTTTTGCAATACACCGTTCAGATTTACGTTTGCCAGTGAGGTGGTAGATGAAGGTGTTGGACAAAACTTCAAAAATTAAAGGAGATCGTAAGTGTGATCCTTAATTGTTGTACTTAAGCTTTCTGCATTCTAATAAGTTGTCGTGAAGCGACCTTACGACTAATACATTCTAGGACCCTAGCTTGTTTACATGGAGTGGGGGACCCCGGTTTAGTGGGGTAGGTTTCTTTTGTTTTGTGTCCCCCAGAGCGTGAAAACAAAAGAAACCAACCCACTAGACCGGGGTCCCCCACTCCATGTAAACAGGGCCTTAGTCTTGTAGACAAAATGAATGCTCTGGTTTTGGATAGTCATGTGTGGAAACTCCACTCTTTGTAATAATTAAATGTATATTACATATTAAGGCATTCAACAAAATTTACTCCTGTTACAATATTTTGATTTACTACTAGGTTTTTGATTAATGCTCCTGTTCTGACATGAAGTGTTTTAGAATTTGATGAGTAAATATATAATTTATATAATTTTTAGCCCTTATAGATTTTCTGTGTAACCAACAAGTGCTAACAGCTAGTGATTCTGGGTATGATAATAAAATGAGTCCATCATGATCACTCACTACTACTCGTCAAGATGTTGCTGAACAACTTTTGCCGCTCGTTCCAAAAATAAATGACATCAGCATACGAGGATAAACCTTCACTTTACTTTAATCATGATAAGAGAGAGTTTGAAAGAAACTGTGGGACATTGACGTTGGGAGATCCTCGGAGGTGGGAGCACTCAACAGAGTTATATACGCGGTAGGCTACGCCCCGAGGTCCAACCCTAACACTTGTTTTAAGCCACAAATGTAAAAAACGTTTTAAATGTTATCAAGTCGCATACGGCCTTGATAGCATTTGAGCGGTTCTATTACATTTGTGGTCAATTAATTACATTTGTGGCTTCATTACCCTTTTACCCTTTTATATACCATTTTGCGGACAGTAAAGGTACCCCTTTCGTATACATTCTAGTGACAGATTTCCTCATTAAAACGGCGAGCAGACGTCTCAGAGCCCGTTCCTTGAGGCTTCGCCGCTCGCCCTTTGTTTTCCATATACAGTCTCAAAAGAAAAATAAGTGACTGCTCGCGGTCTAAGGAAAACACTCTCGCTGTTAGAAGTTGGATTGGGATAGTGTGGGGGTAGATTAAGTAGCGCATGGTGCGATACTGCAGATCAAACCTCCGAAACAAACTGTTCTTTGCAAACACAAACAAACGAACACAGTCAGCGAATAATGGTTTAATACAAAAAAAAAAACCTAGTTTACTGGCAGCAAAGCTTTGAAGCTACGATATTGAATTGGCACTATACTACTAATATTTACTTACTGCCCGCTGTGCCCGATGGCATGAAGGGCAGCAATGGAGGTGCTCCACCCCTGTCTGTTCTGGGCAAGCTTGCGGATGGTATCCTTTACGATAACTCTGGAAGCCCATTACATCCATGCTGTTTTCGACTAATAACCATACACATGTATTGTAAATAAAGGTCCGTACTTTTGGGTACATGATGGGTCATCAGGGCAAGACGCGTACGTTAGGAAATTCTAAAGTTTGTGGGAAAAAAATCAAAGTATTCTATATTGGAACAGTTTTTATTTAGACTCCACATCTTAACAAAGAATAAATTTGGAAACTTTAGCCGTTATTTCAACAGTTTGATTATTAAGTTTTTAACGTCAAGCCAAATTAATTTAGAATGAGGGGCAAGATGAAAATCAAACTTTGTCAAAAAGAAAATCTTTTAAAAGAGGCTTTCTACAAACACAGATTTAGGTGGTCATTCCTCCGATTAGATAAAGGTTAGGGTTTGCAAAACCCTAGGAAGGATCTAGGAAGTCTGCAGAGATCTCCCCCTCATTTCTTGCTCTATTGATGAACCATTTTGCACTCAAGATGGTAAATCAAATTTATTATACTTTTACATTTATTCTACCATCTTCAAAGTTTATTATTTAGAAGTGAAGGCTTAGGCCAAACACTTCTAATCTTCCCTTTTTGATCCACGTTTTTTTGGCGATCCCTCAGCCTTACTCACTGACCAAGAACATATGGCTCTTGCACTGACTTATTAATAATTGTTTATTAATAATTCTCCTTAACCATTCTTTAGAACAACAGTGCCCTCCACTGAAAGTAGCAGTACAAGTGCCCTAAGCATCAAAGTGCTAGTAAAACATAGCACTGAGCTGCTACGTTAAGTGTATTAGAACTATTGAGTAATAGGTATCCTAATGTTTGTATTTTTACCCTAGGATCAATTCTACATCTTAATTATTTCACACGAAAAATTCATGCAAAAATGTTTAGATATGGCTACTTGCATAAATCTATTTTTAACCTGAATATTTGTTACCATTAGAACGAGTAATTGGTAAAGCTATTCGTCACTTAGGCCTAGACCAAAGGTCAGAACTGTTCATCAGACGAACCAAACTTAGTGAGTTAAGTTAATGAAAAAGTTCGACGTCTGGTTCAGTTAAGTTCGTCTGAATGAGTTGCGATCGTCCAACACATTGATTCTATCCCCATCCATCTACTTTAGACGGATAGAACGTCTGAGGGTCGTCTCTGGGACACTCGTCGATCTTCACAGGCGACAAACTAAACTGATAAGTTAAAAATATGTATGATAATGTTTATTAAGCGTCGTTCAGGATATTATTTCTTTTAAAAATTACTTCTTGGGCTGATTCAGTTGATTCGGTTCGAAGCGTCCTAAGTTCGACGTCTGACCCAACAAACCATCTTAAGTTAATATATGTCGACCCAAATTAGAGTTTGGTTCGTCTCATAAAAAATTCGACGTCTAGCCAAGGCCTTAGGAGAGGAACTACAAAGGATGATAAAACAAATCACAAACTTTTCTAAATATAGCTGAAAGAATATAGTTTTTTTTCCATTTAGCCTTTTTTACCTCTTAAAGCGAGACCCACCCGTCAAGCACAGATTTATCCAGGGCAAAAAGCAAAGCTCCCGTTGCTTGTAGTTTACTCAAACAAAAAATAAAATGGTGTAATGCTAAAAGGCGACGGTAACGATAACGGCAAAAAAGTCAGTAGGTCTAATTAACAAAAAAAATTAAAACAATTTTTTCACGTGCAGCACACTTTGTACAAAAATTTACTGTCAACTCTTTGTCCTCATTTTCCCGCCAAAAACCGTTAAAATCAAAAAAGTAAAACAAGGAAAACATCCGCAATGGTACAAATCTGTACCATCCTGCAAAGTTTCAGATCAAACGGATAAAAACCGGCCGTTTTTGATGTTTTTTTCCGAGAGTGGATGGACGAAGAAATGTTGTTCCAAAAATATTTAGCACTTGTACTTGGAGAAAATGGTTTGTACGGGAAGATTCAAGAACTAGAGGAACTACGTGTATGATAAGTATGCTGCTCAGAGCGTAAGGTTAGAGAAAAACTATGACCTTTATAATGATTTAGTACTCATAAAACAACTCTACAGAGTACTTCTTACGTAGGTTTCAAATTCATCTCCTTCCTCCCCACCCCCCTCCCCTCTTTTAGATTTTCTTCTTAGCTGACAAAAAACGTGACCATCTTGATTAGTGGCCACTGACCACTCGATTCGTGTATTTACAGTTACTTTCTCTCTGGAGAAAGAAACCTCTATTGAGATGCAGAGATGAGAAGTTGTCTCACGTTGCCATGGTAGCAAAATTTCTGGATCCATGACTACTGCTGGATCTCAACAAATCGTGCTCCTGCAAACATGGCTAAAAAACGAAAATATTGAGATGTATGACTTTCCTGTGCATGATTGCACTCAGGAAAAAAGAGAGTAGCCATACTTTTCTTCCATCGATCGACAATGCAAATGGCCATCTCTGTCAAGAAAGATTGTTGAGATCCAGTACTTTTGCCACCGTGGTAATGTGATGACTTCACACTTCTCCTTTCTATTTTTAATAGCCTTTGCAAACACACCTGCTATTGTTTTTAGTGCCAAGAACAAGGTTTGACCTCCTTGCTGTC